AGAATACATTCTGCAATGGTCAGTTCACCTAAAAGTGTAAACTGTATCTCAATGGGTGAAGAATGGCAAATAGGCCTATATGTCGATAACTGTACCTACAGGGCAGGATGGCTCATATAAAGCCAAAATATACTGAATAATATGACTGAATTATTGACTGACAAGATTTACACAGAATTAACACAATTTATACATTGATAGCAGAAATGGTTTATTATGTGTTGACAGGGTTGTCGGTAGATTTTGGAGTTCACACAGTGAAGAGGTGATATTTCTCCTAATTAGAGAAAGTCAAATATCAATTAATTTGCATTGGATATCAGTCTATCATATATTATCCTAGCGCTAACATTAACACTAGCTATATTATCATCTCTATTCCATTTTCATTGGGATAAACTGAATAAGATTTTTTGTTTTTGTTGCCAAACAGACAGCTTTTTACATCATACCGATATTCTGTTCCAGCACATGATCCCACTGAGCAGTAGGGTTGGGTACTGTTCACATTTTAACCGGTACCGGTGATAGTTGAATAGCCTAATGGCTTAGACGAACGACTAGTTAACTAGAAAAATCTTTAGTGGGGGGCAGCCCTATTAAATACCCACTAGACGTCTCTGTTACAGTTTTAAAGCATTTTTATAGGCGGTTTCATAGTCGGATAAATTCCACTTTCAGAACGGTCATGTCCGTAATGGAGAGATGTCACGTGCATAACTTAGATTTTTCCTGTGAAACACAAAAACGAAAATTTAAACAAAATTGATATTTTATGCTTTGTAAATAGCCAACCCTTCTCCATTCGGTAGATATTGTTGCTTCTGGTTTGTGCATTGTAAATCGCAGAAAGTCTACAAAATATGTTGTCTCCCAGAAACTCGTGTCTTTTTTTTGTCACGTCCATAACGCATGTGTTTTTCCCTCATTTAAAATATAAAACAAACAGGTTTATAGATTGATACTTTTCTGATGTCTGGACTCTATTTTAAGCGGTTTAGAAAAACTTAAAGAGATGGTTCAATATATTGGTAATAAATATAATTTATGTCACGTCCGTAACGGTGGAATTTTATTTCAGTGAAAAAACAAGTCCAAAAGTCTCAATTTCAACATTTTGAACAATAGGGCCCTACAAACTTTTTCTTTCTTTTTTCCCCATAAATTCTTGTTTTAATTTTTCTGAAAATCAAATGAAGGCATTAAACACTTATTTTTTGGCAAACAAACTGAGGTTTACTATTGAAATTAAAACATGGAAGAAAAATAGTGTGAATATTAAAAAAGTAAAATATTTCTGTTACATGTTAAACCGTACTTTTATTTTGACAGGTTGCCATGAAGTTTCTGTGTGTATACAGTATTTTTTTTATTTTTTTGTGTGTACAGTATGATGATGCTAGTTTTCTCAAATGAAATAGTAAAATTCTCGCGAAGTGACTCTCAGAGACATCACGTCACAGGGTTTCTCTTTCTCTCTCTGTAGCGTATGCGCCCAGATGCTTTCTCAGGTACCGAAATCTGGCACCGATTGATTTAACGTGAATCGGTACTCGGTAGTACCGACGCAATTCGCTCGGTACCCTTAAAAGTACCGAGTTCGGTACCCAACCCTACTGAGCAGGCAGAGATGTTCAAAAGAAATTGTGCAGAAATTAGAGTATTACCTGTTGTTATTTATGCATCATAGCTCAAGTGCGTTAGTTCCCTGCCAGTTCCCTGCGGTTAAATGTGAGCGATTCCTCCAGCGCAGCTTCTAAAGCATCAGGCTGCACCACAGAGCGCATGATGGCTGTATTTTCATCCACCCACCTGACTGAGAAGTGTTGCCTAGCCCTGCGGATGTAACCCCAGAATCCCACGGCAACTCACTGAGCCTGTGAATCATAGCTGTCCCTGCCTCGGCCTACACACCGCCAGCCGCGCTGTGTGCGTCAGGCAGTCTGAGAGATGCTCTTTTACTGGGCCTCAAAAAAGACCTCCCCTCGCTGCTTCATCTTAGGCCTCTCCCAGCTGTCAGAAACCTGACAGCGGGTTTGATGTCTAGCGTGATGTAGGTCTCAGCCTGTCAAACTATAGCATGAGTCAAGCTGTAGAAACAGGCAAAAATAGTGTGTTATGAATGCAGTTTCTGACACTGAACTCCAAAGTTTCTAAAACCTCAGTGAATTTATAATTTCTTTACCTTTTCTGAAGCTTACATATATAATTAATTAAATTAGCACTCATAACACAGTGAAATATTATGTTATCTGTTTGTGTTCTGAACTCCAAAGTTTCCAAAACCTCAGTGAATTTATTATTTCTTTACCTTTTTTGAAGCTTACATAAATAACTAATTAAATTAGCACTCATAACACAGTGAAATATTATGTAATCTGTTTGCATTCTAGATTATGCCTTTTTTGTGTATGCTTTTATTTATTTTTTTACACTTGATTTACACAATGAATCAGTAAGTGTCCTGGGTTTCTATTAAGGCTGGGTGATCTGGAAAATTAAGTCTACTTGTCAACTTATATATTAGTGCTGTCAAAATTAGTGCGTTAATGAAGGTGATTAATTTTTTCAGTTTAACAGTGTTAAAAATATTTAACGCAGTTAACGCAGAGGCGGAGCTAGGGTTGGCCACCCCACTCACAACTGCTGATTTTTTTCTCTTTTTTTCTTGACAGCAACGATTCTATTTCGGCAACGATTAATTTCAGCACTCCTAGTAATAAGTGAAGAGTGTATAATTACATGCAACTATATTTTTATTTTCACATTCTCCATTAAAAGACCTTCAAAATGATGTCGATGGAGTCAGCAATATCAATTTTGAGAAAAATCAAGTTAAAGTTTTCTGAAAGTTCCAAAGCAAAACCACCTAACACCATTGCATCTTTTCCTGCAGGTTATTTCTTAATAATAATTAATAATCACAATATAGCTATTTTTATTTTATCTTTGAGCGCAGCTTCTAAAGCATCAGGCTGCACCACAGAGCGCATGATGGCTGTATTTTCATCCACCCACCTGACTGAGAAGTGTTGCCTAGCCCTGCGGATGTAACCCCAGAATCCCACGGCAACTCACTGAGCCTGTGAATCATAGCTGTCCCTGCCTCGGCCTACACACCGCCAGCCGCGCTGTGTGCGTCAGGCAGTCTGAGAGATGCTCTTTTACTGGGCCTCAAAAAAGACCTCCCCTCGCTGCTTCATCTTAGGCCTCTCCCAGCTGTCAGAAACCTGACAGCGGGTTTGATGTCTAGCGTGATGTAGGTCTCAGCCTGTCAAACTATAGCATGAGTCAAGCTGTAGAAACAGGCAAAAATAGTGTGTTATGAATGCAGTTTCTGACACTGAACTCCAAAGTTTCTAAAACCTCAGTGAATTTATAATTTCTTTACCTTTTCTGAAGCTTACATATATAATTAATTAAATTAGCACTCATAACACAGTGAAATATTATGTTATCTGTTTGTGTTCTGAACTCCAAAGTTTCCAAAACCTCAGTGAATTTATTATTTCTTTACCTTTTTTGAAGCTTACATAAATAACTAATTAAATTAGCACTCATAACACAGTGAAATATTATGTAATCTGTTTGCATTCTAGATTATGCCTTTTTTGTGTATGCTTTTATTTATTTTTTTACACTTGATTTACACAATGAATCAGTAAGTGTCCTGGGTTTCTATTAAGGCTGGGTGATCTGGAAAATTAAGTCTACTTGTCAACTTATATATTAGTGCTGTCAAAATTAGTGCGTTAATGAAGGTGATTAATTTTTTCAGTTTAACAGTGTTAAAAATATTTAACGCAGTTAACGCAGAGGCGGAGCTAGGGTTGGCCACCCCACTCACAACTGCTGATTTTTTTCTCTTTTTTTCTTGACAGCAACGATTCTATTTCGGCAACGATTAATTTCAGCACTCCTAGTAATAAGTGAAGAGTGTATAATTACATGCAACTATATTTTTATTTTCACATTCTCCATTAAAAGACCTTCAAAATGATGTCGATGGAGTCAGCAATATCAATTTTGAGAAAAATCAAGTTAAAGTTTTCTGAAAGTTCCAAAGCAAAACCACCTAACACCATTGCATCTTTTCCTGCAGGTTATTTCTTAATAATAATTAATAATCACAATATAGCTATTTTTATTTTATCTTTGTTATTATAAATAATAAATAATAATAAATAAATAATAAAAAAAACTGTAGAACAAATAGCCTATAAGAAACAAATGCAAAAGCATTCAAGTAAGAAAAACAAATAATCAAATGTAAAAATCACTTCAGTGTGTTCATTACAAATAGATGATTAAATCTACAAAAACAGTTCAATGAAGAACAGCAAGTGATTCCCTCTTTTCTTTTATTGTTATATTAACATTAATGAGACGGACGGCCTATATATTAAGACCTACTGTAATAAACTGATTTAATATAATGTTACACATCCAATGTTTTTCCCCAACAGTTCCCCAAACATTCACTTAAGACATAACTGATTATGTTTTGCGGGAATACTTAAATACTATAATTCTGTGTATATGTGTATATTTATCGGGATTGCGTGCTGGCAGAATCACCTTTTATGCGAGCGCTTCGGATGTCAATCAGCGCAAGAAGCGAGCAGAGAAAATGTACTCCTCTCATAAAATGTACAAATAAAGTTAATTTTAAATGTTCAATTACTATTTGGAGCATTTGGATCACTAGACGAGGGCTTAATGACCTAATTTTGGTGAAAACTTCAAATTCGACTAAAATTTTACATTTTTAACTTTTTTTGCTTGCAACTCAAAATTAGCCAGTGCACATTCTGACTAATTTTGCCAGCATGGGGGTCACATTTTATAAAACCAGCAAAATTCTTACAAATACTATGTAAATATTTAATACATCAGCCATAGTTTGTAGGATTGATTGACTGTTTCTAACAGCATGTTTGCGAGTATCCCAAACTATCCTGTTGCTTACTTTGCTGTATGTGTGCTTTTATTTTCCCCAGGAGGCACAGAAGGTGAATAACCCTATGAACAGTCAGGCTGATGGCCAACCGAAGAACCCGAATGATAAAGATGACGCCCCAGCCAGCGAGGTGGGCTGGATGACCTCAGTCAAAGACTGGGCGGGGGTCATGATCTCAGCACAGACCCTTACCGGCAGAGTTCTGGTGAGACGGCTACACACATACACCCACCGCAACATCACCAGATGCCCACATACATTACATCCCTTCACAATCACATTCAGAGCATATAATTCTCATTAATTTGTCACATGCTACAAGACAGTTAGCACTCTGCGGATGACATGTTTTTGTTTCTGTCAAGTCTAGAGGTCAAGATTATACCCAGATGATGATGTACGGGTGTTTTGTTAAATACGGTCTCATTAGCATGCCTCACGCAATAAAGGGCTTTTGGGAGTGCAGTAATACTGAACGGTGACTCATGTGGGTGGCGCTCGTCATCGCAGCTGTTAGTGCTCGCACAGTGCTAGACACGGACAGGTCAATTAACTATGAACAATTGAGTCAATTTACCACATAATGAAGATCATTTACTTTGGGAACGTTATGCAAATGAGAGCAGTCCTAATTTTATGACCTTCAGCAAATTATGGACGAAATCCGTTTTGCTTTGTGGTTTTATACTCTGGTGGGTCTGCATTTCTGAAAGCTTTAACCTCATACGCCAGTAGCATGTCCTTCATTTATTGTTACTTGAATATTTTTCTTCAGTTCTGCATCTCATCTTTCAGGTGGGGTGGCTGTTGTACATGACCAGATTGGGAAGCAGGGCTCTCAGTAGACCAGTCCAGTCTAGTGTTTCTCTTTTAGTGCATGACTGATCTGTAATGGGCCATTC